TTTCAAAAAATATTTCCATTTCTCACCTTAAATAACTGCAACATATAAAAAAATTCATTTTCTATCTGTAATTTTTCTTTAATTATTATACAGTCCAATTTTCAACAATACAAAAAATTTATTTTAAAACATGCACACTTATAGATAGATTTAGTTACCAGCAGTATATTATGTGTTTGTGTGTATAGAAACTAATAAAATTATGTGAAAAAGTTTTAAAATAAAATAAAAATAAAAAAGAAAACTTTTCGGTAACCAAACAAATATTATGGTTTTTAATTGTTTTAAATACTAAAGTAAATAATATTGTTTTCACTTAAAATCCTCAGAGATAAAAAAAAAATTTATGGTCAAATATTAATTTAGTCCGAAATATATAATTGAATTCAGTAGTAAATAATTTAAAATTATTTAAAAAAAAAATAAAAAATTCACTCACAAACACCATAACAAAAATTTTTAATGATTTTTAAAAAATTAAAATAAAATGTTTATTAATTCGTGCCGAATATTAAAAATTTATGTTTTTTATAATGTTGAAAATTTTAGAAATAAATTTATTATTTGAAAACAAAAACAAGAAATAAAACGAGGGTGGCGGAGGAGGGGGGGTGCGGCAAATAGGTAACTGCACAATTATTACACTTTTTAAGTATATTTTTCATTCATGAAATTGAAGTCAACTAAATTACAGTCTTTTAAGTTTCAATTGTAATTCCGCAAAAAATATATTATGAATTCAAAGAATTTCAAACTTAATATAGTCCCATCAACATGTCGAATGGCATAGTATAATCATTCATTTTTAAGACAAAAATTATAATTAAAATTAATGAAACTTGAAAAAATTTCACAAATCAATTAAAATTTTTAAGCTAAATATATTTTTCCACAATTAAACTGTTGTAATATCCACAATCGTTAACGATACCCTTGACTCTCTAAATTCTTACAAGTGCATCTTTATTAGTTAGACAGTTCAACGATCTAATTCGTAATTACGTCTTCGGAATAGTTATCAATGCTTTTATATACACATATAAAAAAATTCTTTTGATTGTACAAAAAATTTTTTCTCAAGAGAGTTTCCCAAAATTTTTCCATTTTTGGAAAATTGATATTAAATAGACTAAATATGGCCAATAATAGAAAACAAGAAATTAATTTCAAAGTAATTCATAGAATAACAAATATTGCAGAAAAGGCATTTTAGAAAAAAATATGTTCGGCAATGTTTCGCGTAGTCCGGCTGTTTAACAAATTTTACCAAGAAAGTTTGATGTTTTCGAATTAAACAAGACGAGAGCTTACGCTTAGAGAAATTAGTGCTGATATGCATCAGAGCAATATTCTGGGTCTTATACTATACCTACTTTATGCAAGTGATTTGTTAGAGTTATAAGGTAATGTTAATATGGGTAAATTTGCTGAGCGTTTTCACTAGTGAACACAGGCTTTAGCTTAGGATTTAACTTATCAAAACATCTTTTTCGTAATTATACTTAAAATAAAATTACAACTTTTTTTATTAAACTGAAAATAAAAATTTAATTAAAATTCATTTAATTTATTAAAAATTTGAATAACCTATTTGACATTTTTACCGACCGTATTGTGTAAACAATAGGTAGGTTATGTGATGGCAACAAATTTTGCATATCAAGTTTTCGGTGGGAACGTACTTCTCCATAGTAGGGAAGTGTAAATAAACTATTTTTAGCAACCTGTCGGTCTGTCGGTCTGTCGGTCTGTCGGTCTGTCGGTCTGTCCGTCTGTCGGTCTGTGTGTGCACGCGTGTATCTCAAGTTCGGCTGAACCGATTTTGATGAAATTTTATATGTAAGTTTGTTTCCACCATGGCACGGATCGATCAACTTTTGGTATATATCAGGCCTCGGGAACTGCACTTTTTAGCGGGCCTGTTTTACATTTTGGAACATTTTGAAGAAAGTATTCAACCGATTTACTTGAAATTTTATATATAAGCTCAGGTCGACCATCCGCAAAAATTCGTATGTTTTGGAAGAAATCAGGCATCGGCAACTAGACGTTTACTACGGGCCAAATATACATTTTTGTGTATATAAAGAGAAATAATCAACCGATTTTATTGAAATTAAATATATGAACTCCTCGTATTAAAACAATGAACATATAACTTTTTTGGAAAGATCAGGGCTCGAGAACTGATTTGCGGGCCGATTTTACATTTTTCACCATATCCACAGAACAAATTGATGGAATTTCTTGAAATTTGATATTTGACTTCTGGTTGTTACCCAAACTAACTGGCGAGCAATTCAGGGAATTCGGGTAGCACAAAGCGAAACTCTACTAAGAGCCAAATTTACATTTTTCTAAGTATGTTAACTATAAGCTTACTAATGTCCTAAAAATTGGAAAGAAGTATTTAACAGACATTTTTATAATATTCTGTAACACTTTCATTTAACTAGACAATACACAATGCGGTCGGTTATGTGCTGACCACATCAGATTTTTTTTTTGTACAAACTTATATACCAAATGATTGTCATGAATAAATTCATATAAAAGTTATAAAATGGTTAAATGTTTCGCTTTAAAACTGATTAATTTTCGAAAATAAATTGGTTAACAGAAATGTTTCCAAATGAAATTTTTAAAATAGTTTATTTTTTTAAATTATATTAAATTTACCAGTTCTTACTCTAAAAAACAACATTCTTATAGTAAAATGAAGATGTGTCAAATTTTCTAAAAGGACATTATAAATATAAACAAGACTTTAAATTAAATATTAATTGGGGGCATAAAGTTTTCAAAAAAAAAAAACAATAAACGCAAAAAAAACAAAAATAAATTATAACTGTTTTAAGTTTTTGTGTTTTTTCGGAAAATATTTTACATTACAATTGCATACATACGTGTGTGTGTGCATAAGAAAATAAAGTCGTCAGGAAATGAGAAAAACTTTTAAAAGGTTTTTTTTTATTCCGTAAAAATTTTGTTTAAGGAAAAAAGTTTTTATTAATATGCCAGATCCAATACTAAAATTTGGAACACACAGAGCATATAAACCAATTCAAAGTTTTATTATGATCCACGTATGATCCTATAAAATATAAGGTGTATAATTTTATTCATTTGTCATTTGTAATATTCACGCGGTTTACATTAAAAATATAAGAATGTGTAAGGTTTTGCTGACAAATAATTTAATTCGCCAGATTATCTGTCCTAAATGCTTTAAAATTATTTTTGTTTCATAACTTTTTTGACATATTTGATCAAATAACATAGTAACACTAAATTTAAATAGAATTATTAGTGTAATTAATAATTACAAATTTTAAATTAACTCTTTCGAGGCGGCATACCTATAGGACTTAGAGAAAATTGTGAACACGACGACACCGATTTAAAATAGATGGTAATAAAGAAAATATTTTAGATTAAAAATTTATTAAGTATCTCGTAATAATATCCTAAAGTTGATAAATCAAATTTGCAAAAAATAATTTTATAAATTTAAAGTTAAAAGTATTTTATAATGTTATGTAATATTGTAACAAAATCATTTTTCATACAAATAACATACTTACATAATTCGTGCACATGCAATTTAAGAACAATTGTATTGCAAGTTTTATAATCCTACAAATACCTCCGCATAATTTAAAATTAAAACCAAGAAATGTTACTAGTTTATTTAAAAATTAAATTAAAAACTTAAAATTCAATTTAATTTCAAAATACTTTTGTTCACAAAATGCAATATGAAACACTTAATTTTTAATTTCATGTCCTTTATAAATTTTCTTTAAATATGTTAAAGTTATCAAAATGAATGAGCAAATTCGCACATATAACACAATCTATAATTAATTTAAGTTTAAAATACAATAGTTCATGTCCTATATCGGAGTTATGGAGGAATACATCAATGAAGAAGCTATAACTTTCACGCTAAGTAGGCGCATCGGCAGGACTGTCGGCCACGAGGCTTTCTTTATAATGCTATACATCTTGAAATTTAATCTAATATAGATAATTTTGACTGCCTTTTCTCTGATTCACTTATTAAATAATTAAATTCATAACCAATATTATTAATCAAACTTGACTTAACAATATGTATATCATTAACAATTTCAATATTTAAGTTTAATAATTTCATAAGGTGGCGCGCTACACTTCACATGTACAACATGTTGTAATACATTTTCGATACTCAGAAACATGATTTATAAATATTTATTTACCTACTTAAACATTATTTTTTTTTTAATTTAGATTTATTATCTATATGTAGCGCTAAAACTAGCCCAATTGACCAACCATAAGCTAATTATTTCTGTAAATCTTAACTTAATTAATTTAATGATGGCTGCTGAAAGACATAAATGTTTCCCAACATTTTAACTATTTTTGTCAATTTAATTAATATTTTATAACTATTTAATATAGATCAATCAAAAATTTATAGTAAATCAGAAGGTTTCTTCCATTTTAATATCCTGGAACCATTATTCAAACCCTGCTAAACTGAGTTTTGACGTTTCAATGTTCGTGTGTGTTGCTAACTTTTCATAATACTTTACAGTCAGTCGTTTTGTTTTACAGCATCAATTAACCATTACGTTAAACATTATTTTAAATTGAAATATTTCGATGTAGTACCTGAAATTGAATAAAACTGAATACATACTTATTATTTATAACGTTATTATTATCAAAAAAAAATCTAAACAAAATTTTAATATTTTAATAATTTTCGCAAATCTCATTCAGAGACATCTATTGGGTTACCTTACAATGAACAGAAACAAAAATATTTTCATTTATTTCAATTCCATTCATTCCGAAAAAATTTATTTAGTACTAACAATAAAAACGAAACAAATGAAAACATCAATTCAACACATCCCTTGTTTTTTTTTAATGAATGACATTTAATTACCCAATCATTATTAACACTGTCATTTCTGACATTTTATTTAAACGGCTTGGATTGAACAAAAAATAAAGTAGCTGTCGTGTCGTAGCAAATTGAAAGTAAAGTATACGTAAAAAAATTTCTCTGAACTTTCATTTAAAAAAAAAAAATATCAATTTTCTCTCAACATTTTTATATTTTTATAATTTAAAAAAAAATAAAGTACGCGTGTGCAAAGAAATTCAAAGTAGAAAATAGAATAGCATCTTCTATATTTGCTCTGAATATTTTGTTATTGTATTTTTTTATGCTCTTCAATTTTATTATTTAAATAAAATTTTCTTTTCTGTGGTCAGTATATCTTCGGCATTTTGTTAATGAAGTTTTCGAAAAAAAAAAAAGAAAAGAAAAACAAAAAAATAGAAGAGAAGAACAAGAAACACGCTTAAATGGACAAAATTATTAGTGAATACGGTGAAATAAAATTATAATTAATATATATATATATATTTATATACACAATATATATATAAAAATATAAAAAAAGAAAAAAAATTTTTTTTTCGCTAACTTTTCATTTCTATAATATTATTTTTTGAGGATAATAAAATCAATAAAAAAAAAAATTTAAATCATAGATATTACATAAAAAAAAAAAGAAAGAGAAAGCATAAAAAATTGAAAAAAAAAATTAGATTTTTAATAAAATAAAAAATTTTAATTGAGATATTCAAAAAAAAGCAAAAAAAAAAGAAAATTTTATAAAAATTCATAAGGAATGGCACCTAATAAAAAAAGCCAATCAAAATTGAGTGATACCTATGAAGGTAATGGCGATTATTCATATAATAATGATGAAGAAACCGATTTTAAACGTAAAAGTGGAAATGGTGCAGAAGAAAACAATGATCATCAACAAGATGGAAGCCATATTAATGAAAAGGCAAATGAATATCTAAAAGATTGCATATTAGAAAAAAGCAAATTAGATAAAAAATTTCCAATATGTGAACGTTTATTGGATGCAGGTGAGAATATTAAATTTAAATAAATACCCACATAATTTAATTTCCTACGTATTACAAAAAATCTCTAATATTATATAGTGTTTGTTTGTGTGTAATGATGACCAAAATGATTATACCAACCTCTCTACCCACTTTAATGAATAATGCGACATGTTTAAAATAAAAAAAAAAAAATAATTTTTCTTTGGCAGGAAGATGATTTTTTTTTTTCTAATAATTAATAATTTTAATTCTTAGTTAATTTTTATTAATTTTAGTGTCTTGTTATTGGAGAGAACAAAAAAAAAAAATTATTTAATTTAATTATTCAACAAAAAATTATATTTGAGAAGCATTTTAGAAAAAAAAAATAAAAAACGAAAATTTTATTATTTTTGAATATAATGGAATAGAAGAAGGAAAACAAGAAATCAAAATGGCTGAACCTTACAAAAAAAACACAAAAAAAAAACAGAAGAAAAGAATGAATTCAGTTTTTTCCCTTGGTTTTTTTTTTTGTCATGTTTTTCAATATATTTTTTTTTTTTTTGTAACTCAAACTTACAAAAACAGTAAAAAATAATAATATGTAGGGATCCGATAAAGAACTAACCAAAAACAACAACAACTATAAAAGTAAAAAAAAACCCAAAAAAATTAAAAAGTTTCTATTCTACTTCCTTTTCGAAAAGCTTGTAAGATACCTGTAGGTATACACATCTATACTCAAATCAAATATATATACATACATATTTACATATCTAGATATTTTTTATTAGTTTATATTTACATATGTACACACACACATACATATTGTATATATAATTGTTTTTCTTTTCTTTTTTATTATTATTTTTTTTTCTGTTTCTGTCTCTACTTATTATTATTTTGCTTATTTTTCATATTTTCATCATCATGTTTTATTGAAAAATCAATAGTCTCAAAGTTCGTAGGTATTTGATAAAAGCAAACAAAAAAAAAAAAAAAATAAGAAGAAAATAGCAAAAGAAAATGATGTGAAAAACTGCGGCCGCGTCACATTTTTATTATGTTATCAAAAAAAAAAAAAATAATAATTTAACAAAAAAAAAAGAAAAGGCAAAAAAACTTGTTAATAATATAATTTAATTTTAACACCACAATCTATTTGAGGATCCTATTTAATTAAATATTCGTATAATAAAATTATAAATAATTTTTTGGAAAAAAAAAATTTTATATATAATAATGTACATGTATGTATAAATAGGGCCTAATGTAATAGATATGGATGCTAATTACATTACTTACAAATATTATTTTCAAAAATTTATGAAATTTGCTGAATTAATAATTATAAGCGTGATTAACGTATGGATATATACATAAGTACCTTATTAATGTAAGTTCCTGTAGTCGCAATACAAAAATTTAATTTTGTTCCATGCATCTGCAGTCTGTCATTCAATAAAATAAATAGATTAGTATTAAAAATATTAACCATTGCTAAATTTATTTCTTAAGCTCGATTACTCAGAGGTCCCGTATAATATGAGTAGGCTAGATTGCTACCTACCCTCATGGTTCTATTTGTAACTACAGAATGTATAAAAATCAAATGACATAAGAAAATGCATGCTTATATTCTACAGAAGTAGGCATGTATTTAAAAAAAAAAACATTTATTTTAAAAATATTAATATTAAAGATTGCACATGCGTTAAGTGCTAAAGAAAAGGAACTTTGTAGGTTGGTTTTTAGGGTAGACATACTCATGTATTTTCAAAAAAAAAATGGAAAATTATTTTTGTTTTTTTTTTTTTGGAGGGGCACATTTGTACATTTCCAATTAATGGAAATGTATGTAAATTAGAATGATTCAAAAATAGGAAATCCGGAAATAACGATGACGTACCAAAAAAAAATTTAAAAGCATATACAAATGAAAAAGTATTTTAAATCTTTTAGTTTTAAATTTTTAAGAAAAATGAAAAAAAAAAAATTGAATAGTGAGAACACTTGTTTGTTTTTTTTTTTTTTTGTATACGTTCTTGTTTTTCTCTTGTATTAAAATAAAATATAAATATTGATGAAAAGCGCATTTTTTGACCGTGACATTGAACTTTTTTGTAAATGTAAAAATGAGTTTTTTTTTTTTTGATTTTTCTATTTTAAAATAATTTTTAGTTATTTTTATTGAACATTTGCTTTTTATATTTTAAAATTTTAAATTTAATTTTTTTTTTCTTTTTGTTCTTAATTAAATGTATTTAAATATTTAGTTTTACCTGTTTATTGATTATCATTTAAATTTGATTTTTTCCTTTTGTTTACCCAAAGAAAAGTTTTTTTCTCTTAAATGTTTACTTTTGTATATACAAATGTAAAATTTTAATTACATTTTAGGAAAACAAAAGGTAAACAAATGTGTAAATGTACCTACTTAATTTTTTTATAATATCCTGATCCAAGTACACATACCTACCTATCTATCTAATAGATTCGCTTTTAAATCCATTTTAAAGCGAAACCTTCTACATTTTAATATTCGATTATATTATTTTATAAAATCAATACTTATTAGTTACATATGTTAAGTATTGAAATAAAAATTTAAATAGTTTTATTTTTTAGAATTCTAATCAATATTTTTGCTGTTTTTCATTTTATAATCTGATTTTTAAAATTTAGTTTTCTATTTAACTTGATTTTTTTTTTGCCTGTTGTTTATTTACCTTGAGAAAAGTTTTAATTTTCTACGTTTTTTACGTTATCATTTTTACACTTTCATAATAAATAAATAATTGTTGCTAAAATAATCGATATATCAGGGACTGGTTATAAAATATTTTATTGAGAGAAAAAAGAAAAAAAATTTTTTTTGTTTTGTTCTTAATTTGAAATTTTAATTAGATTAATTTAAGTAGGTAGGTGCCTATATTATATTATTTAATTTTGAAATCCGAATAATCAGCGATTTAATTTAAGTAATAATTATGCGAAAATAGTTCTTAAGTGATTATCATATAAAAATTGTACTTATACAGTGTTTAATTAAATTGAATTTTATTTCAATAAATAATATATAAGAAAATTAGAAAGGAATTGAATTAACTTAAATTTTTTTTATCTTTGTCAAATTTAAGTTTGCTAAATTAAATTAACTTATGTATGTATATAATACATTAATTAAAACTTAAAAAAATTATGACTTTCAAAATAATTACTTTTCATACTTGAATAAGTTGCAGATTTTGTCTCAATTTCTTAATTAATAATTTAAATACATTTCAGAAGTTAATACATAAAAATGTATACTTATTTACAATTCAAATTTGACTAACTAAGTAAAATAGAACAAATCTTTGCGATAATAGCTTCTTACTTGTATGGACAAGCACAAGTAATAAGTATAAAGGGATATTTTTAGCCAGTGAACGAGAAATTTTGATTGAATAAATTTAACTTAGGTTTTTTAGTCCGAAATCAAATTAAAAATCTACTGACATTGGAATTAAAAACTTAAAAGTTAAAATCAATAAGTAGTTCTTTCATCGTTCAGATTGTACGTTCAATTGTTACCATGCAGCACAACTTACCTATATTTACAAAATAATTTTTTTTGAGTTACATTTTTCAGATACATATTTACTTATTAGTATTTTAATATAAAGAATTTTGCTCCCTACTGTTAGAGGAAAAGGCACAAATATATAAGTATACATTAATTGGATTTTGTAAACAATAATTTTTTATATTCTATAAGTAATAGTCAATTAATATACAAAAAATCAAATTTTATACAAATAAAAAATAATAAGTATGCGTAGTTTTTTTTTTTTTAGAAACATAAACATAATTTTTTCTCGAATAATATTTCTTTATAATTTTAGAATATCATCTTGAAGATGTCAATCAGAAAAAAATAAATTTATATGCATATATATGTACATACACATAATAATTAGACTTAAGTAGTCATAATATTGGAAAATCAGAAATCTAAAGAAATGAAGAATAGTCTGTTTTTTATTCAAGTAAAGAAAAGCAAGAACAAAGTAAATACATAAGTATTGTAGCTTATGTTTAACTAAGTAGCTGAATACAAGAGGAGAGAAATTAAAAATAACTAATAATTAAAGAAGAACAAAATTGAATTAAGTATATAAAATTGATTTAAAGTTTAATTTTAATTTATTTTTGCAAGATAAGGTAATAAAAAGAAATCAATCGAATTTTTCTTTTCAACTCTTTGATATTTAAAATTTTTATAGGTTATTTTTATGTTTAATTTGTATATATTTGCTTTAAATACTTGAAAAAAGAAAATAAATTTATTTTTTTTGGTTTTTTTTTTTGAAATATAATTACTAAGTATTTTGATCTGGTTTTAGAAGAAAACAATTCTTTTATTTACTTTTTATAAACAAATTTTCTTCTATTAATAAAAATCAATTTATATAGAAAATATTTAAACAAAAAAATTTCAATAATTTATGTACATTTTTATTTTATTTTAAAATTTGAATAAATACAAAAATACAATTATAATGCACAATATTGAGTTCAAAATTTTAAATGAACTCATAAATTTTGTACAATACCATACAACAATACTTTTTATTGTGCACTCACTATATATATTTATTTAGATATACTTTTATATAGTGATATAAAAGTATATCTAAACAAATAGTTAGTATATAAGTTCATTTATGAATATTTTTAATTGTTATTTTAATATTTCTGAAATAATTTTAAAATTTTATTATAAGAATTAGATATTTATATTGAAATTTATTATTACATTTTAATTTCTCTCTTTTTTACATTTGTGTATTGCTGTATAAGTATGTACATTATTCATTTTGATTTATAAAAATTTGATTTGAAATATAAGTACGTATATAAAATGATATACAAAGAATTTATTTTAAAAATTACTTTTAAAATTTAAAATATAAATCGTTTTAATTTTTAAAATAAATATTCTTTCCTTTCAATGTTTTTATAAATTATTTGAAAGAATAATTAAAACAGAA